AAAATAAGGAGATATGGTATGATTCCCAATGAGACAAATATCCAACGTAGTTCAAATAAAGTGGATATAAGCAATTATAGGCAACTGTAAGGCCTTCAACAACGAGAAAAACTCATACCGCATAGTCGGCTATAAAAGGCCCCAACAAGAAAAATATGAAACAATTCAATTGAGAAAACTAATGGCCTAATTTATAACAAAACAATTTACGAAAAACAAATATGACAGACATGAACCAACGACTACCACTGAACTTGGCTTGGGACAGGCACATAAAGAATGGGGCGGGGTTAAACATGTTTGTGAGCGCTCAACCCTCCCCTAACCTGGAAGTTCACTAAAACCAAAGTTTTTTTACGGAAATTCAACGAATTCGAAAGTGGTCTAGTGAAGAATATGTAATAAAGTAAAAACAGACTACTCGAGTCTAGAATTTGAAGACCGGCTTCACTATAGTTCGTTTATAAAATATTCGAAGTGTATTAGAATATTTTTCTGTGTTTCAAACAGAAGTCCTTAAAGATGTGTGCAAGTTTATCAGAAAAGTTCACAACATGCGTGATACTTGTCCATCACAATTATAGACATTTCTGTTCAACACCAGTAGCAAATGTTCTGAAAAAAGTGGATAATAAAATTTAAAGCTCTTCTTATCTTCATGTTATGATCATGTAGAAAGAGTACTTGAGACGAAGTGTTTTAAAGGACCGGCGTAACTTTTGAGGCGTTTGAAAATACGTTCCATTTTTTAAATGCATATTACATATGATACAAACTGAACTACAAAGGAAACTTTGAAAGAGTTGGCAACACGAAAACTCAGAAAAAATCAGGTTCTCCGGAAGGTAAAGTAGTTTCTGTTCCAAAAGTGGCATCCGTCGTGTTGCTCATGACAAGTAAAACTGTGGTGATAATTTATATACCTAAGGAGGCTACGACTATAGTCAAGTCAAATATCATATACCAGTGGTCATCTGCAACAGACATTTCATAACGGCAATAAAATCCTGGTAGTGTCTACTATGCGCTTGGTCATAGCGGATTGAAAAACTGCGATCCTTAATTTTGTTTGGAAAATTCTAAAATCATGTCTTTTCGCAATTTACAATAAAAATCTAAATTATAAGCCATATATCTTTGATGACGAGTTTTTACAATACTTCTGACGAGGCATAATTTCATTTTGATATTGAATTGTATATAAGTTTGCTAGCATGGTGAGTATGATGACCCAAAAGGTCAAAATCGGTAATAACAAATATAGAAGTATCTTTCTACCATAATATTGTTTAATCTATCACAGTAAAATGTGTATAAATGTACACAATTTGACAAAAAAAATGTTATGAAACATGCTGTACCCTAATAATTCCGTATTTACACTGAAATCTATATAAATACAAGTTCTAGTTTTTCGATGCTTTGAAGCAATTACATAGATATAAGAAGATGTGGTACGAGTGCCAATGAGACAACTCTCCAATCAAGTATTAATTTATAAAAGTAAACCATTATAGGTCAAAGTACGGTCTTCAACACGGAGCCTTGGATCACACCGAACAGCAAGCTATACAGGGCCCCAAAAATGACTAGTGTAAAACCATTCAAACGGGAAAACCAACGGTCTAATCTACATAAAAAACGAGAAACGAGAAACACTTATGAACCACATCAACAAACGACAACTACTGAACATCAGATTCCTGACTTAGGACAGGTGCAAACATGTATGATAGGTTGACCATATACGAGATTGTTTGGCGTGTTTATTTAGGTTTACATTCGACAAACCATAATCATTTTCATTACCAGATCAATTATTTTATTTGTATTGATATTTTAATCATTTACATCTAAATTCTAATGCAATTGTCGAGTAAGCTGTTGTACTGTTCTTTAATTTAATGAGTAGGTGATTGCTTAAAAACAAATTCTATCCTTTGAAAAAAATATATTGCTAATTTCTTCTTGTTTGAGGCTTATTGATATGAATTCCGACGAAAATATTTTCTTTCTTTAATAAAAGTCAAGTGATTTGCTTTCCAAATATTTGATTTCTAGGTTTGTTTTAAGACTATCAAAACCTTCGATTTTTCTACCCTACCATGCCACATGAAAAAAATTAAAAGAAAAAATACACAATGCTTTCATCCATTAAAAGCGCTGCCTGTAATTAAGCGGTTGTCGTTTGTTGCTGTATATCATATTTGTTTTTCGTTCATTATTTTGTACATAAATCAGGCCGTTAGTTTTCTCGTTGGAATTGTATTACATTTGTCATTTCGGGGCCTTTTATAGCTGACTATGCGGTATGGGTTTTACTCATTGTTGAAGGCCATACGGTGACCTATAGTTGTTAATTTCTGTATCATTTGGTCTTTTGTGGAGAGTTGTCTCATTTGGAATCATACCACATCTTCTTATTTTCATATATACGCTATAAGTTTATTGTTTTGGGATATGATTCGGCATATTTTGTAGTAGCTTGAGTTTCTCATCGACAACATAATTGTTGAATTTGGAGGTCGATGTTTTCAGCATGTTGTCGGCATCCTTTTGGAACCAGCTGTGTGCCTCTACTGGCCGAACTAGAGATTAATTAACCCACAGTTAAAGTTTCCTCCGCCTCATTTCTAGACATATACCTCGAATTTGACTTCAACATTCATTTCAGTACCAAAATCTAGAGACAAACGAGACGATTTCAATTTTGAAATTATCATTTGTCCTCACCTTAGCAGCAATATACAAACTTCACCCGCGTATGAAGTAAACATTTCTCAACTCATACGATATTCAAGAGCTTGCAGCTGCCACAACGTCATCGTTGTCTGAGCAAAACGATTTTCAGCCAGGGTTTTGTTAATAACGTCTCGCCCTTTTTTTCAAAATTTCCATCGGAAAGTACCAAGCCCTAATAGATGAATATTCAGTTTCTACTTCACAAATAATACAAGATGGTATTGAGTCATAGATTCTATGTGCTGAAGTTGTATATCATTTTATGTACTTTAAAGTTTTCCCTGTATTTGTCATTGTACTTTTATGATCCTTCTTTTGGTCTGATGACTCTTGACGTGGGTCGGTATTTGTACATCCAGCTTTCGGGTTGCTGGCTTTGAGTGTTCCTGGTGCATGTGGGCCCAGAAGTGTGATTCGGATGCGTGCAGATTTTATAGTGTTTTCATTTTGTTTACTCTTGTATTTATATTTTACTTAAATTATACATTATAGGAAAAGTGTATACTAGTTTGGCATCATGTTTTAATTTACTGTATATACTATCAAATACAACAACTTTTTGCTGGTGTCTTTGTCAGATTTTGTTGGTTGTATGTTTTAGTAATTTGGGTTGTACAATGTATGACTGCGATGTATGTTTACACATTTTTGGCTACTGTATCCCAATTATTGTCACATAAACCAATTATGTCTGTTTGGGTTGCTCATCCAATTTTGTTAATATAACGGAATTATAGATAACTGTCATACAAGTGGGAGGTTTAGCGAGCTATAAGACCTACCATCATACGTTTCTAGTGACACCCGTAGTGTTACCAATCTTTATATCCATGAAGGAAAAAAATTGGTGATTAAGCATCTTATTATAACAGATTGGTAAATGCCTCTAGTATAAATCTTGTATATGTTCCTTTTGTTTTCATTTTGTTTACCCTTGTATTTATATTTATTAACATCCTTGACTCTGAGCCTTGACTATTGATACTATTTTAATTTACTATATTATCAACTACAAACACATTTTTGGTGGCGTCTTTCTCAGATTCATTTGTTATACTGTATGTACTATCGACTATCATTTTTGTTGTTGGCGTCTTTGTCAGAATAATTTGTATGTTTGTTTGAATTATTTTGTCAGTTGTGTTGTACAAAGAATGAATGTTTACACAATTGTGCCTGCTGGATCCAAATTATTGTCACTTAGACCAATTATGTCTGTTTGGGTTGCTCATCCAATTTTGTTAATATCACGGAACTATTAACAACTGTGATACAAGTGGAGGTTTAGCGAACCATAAAACATGGTTTAACCTACCTTACTGCGTTACTCGTGACACCCGTAGTGTTACTACTGTTAAAATATATCGAGGAAAAAAAATCTGCTGATTAGGCATCTTATTATAACGGATTGGTAAATACCTCTTGTATAAACCTTATAATAAGAGAAAACCAAATTTACAAACCATCGGAACATGGAATTGTCGAACCCAAATACATGAACAAATAAGTGTATAACTGTAACACAGTTTTTATGACAAAGAATAGAAAAAATCCGTTGTCGATAGGAACAAAAAGGGCAGAAGATATTAAGGGGACATTCAAAAGCTAAAAGTCGACGACAAACAGATAATATAATTAAGAAAAAAGAGGAACTACAAAAGAATCTACAAAACACTACACAGAAAACTAAATAATGGACAACACGAAAAAAATAGAGATTGCTTTCAGACGTAAATACAAAATGGACAAATACAGAGCAAAATCAACAGAAACTCTCTTTATAAACTAAGAGTACGCAGTTATGGTCCACGTGTAGATTCAGTTGTATTGCTCATAGGAAGTAAAAATCCAATGATAATATCTTTCGGCTGACTTATATAGTAATTGCGCCTTGAATTCATATAACATATATATTATGTTTATAGACTCATTCCTTAATATATTTTTAGTATTACATTTTGGCTAGTAATTATATGAAACTGTGACGAAAGGGGTTGAATGTGTTATAGTAAAGTATATTTCGGTGATGTCACAAACGTAAACAAAAAGAGCGGGACAGTGATTACTACAAGTAGAACATGTGACACAAATATCCCATAATGGTATGGCGTCTATAAAACGTTACTATTAAGACATGATATAAACATTTGGAGATGTGAAAATAATAAATATATTGATTTGGTATAGGGCTGTACAAACTCTACTTTGTTTCTTCGATTGGAATATAAAGGGTTTTTTTTAAATAACAAACAAATCAGCTGTTTCTGAATATGTGTTTCATTTTTTTATACAAATACAAAAAGTATAAACCCTACCATTTAAATAAAAGTTGAACATAAGCATGTATTGGGATTAAAAGCGGTTCCATCAGCGCACATCATTTCAATCCAATAACCATTACTATATTGTTCATAGTGTCTAGGGCTCTTGTCTGTAGCTCTGAGGTCACAGGCTGAAAAAAATAATATTTTATAAATTAATACTACATCTATTCAGATATTAATTCAAAATCGGAAAAAAAATCCTTTATGTCTTGTTTTCTCTTTTAATTGACACACAATGGAAAATTTAAAGCACGCAACAAATATGACGACATAAAACAGTTCTTGCTCTTCTGTTTCGGATTTTTGACATTTTATGCTCTACAACTTTTTACATTTCTGGCAAAAAGTTGATTTCAAGTGTACCTGATGATTTTCATTCAAGAAAAATCTATCGTACGTCCGATTATCGATATTATATAATTTTTTAATTTCACCTGGGACGGAACTGATGCTGGTGGATTATTAGTCCTCTACGCATCGTCTGTCCAGTAGCCTGTGCTTTAGTACTGTTAATTGTTTATATTTAGTTAACAAATTATTTAATAAAAATATGACGGTTGTTTTCCGTTCGTTCCCTTGGTTGATAAAGTCTCACGTTTGAATCTGTCAGTTCTTATGGACTGTCCCCTCTTTAAATTTACCTAGGACTTCGGTATTTTTGTTATTTAATATTTTTGTTCGAAATGTACACATTCAAAAATATACATAAGTGATTACTTGAAAGGAATGTTTAAGTATATCCCATATTTGGATCACCTGGAACACAGATCCAATGTGAGCTATTGCCATTGCTTAACATCTATCATCCAAAACTACCGAGCCACTTGGAACCAATGCATCATCATCAGCGGGGATTTACTTTTCAAATTATGTTTGATGACTACCGTCGTCAAACCAAAATGGCTTCATAGAGGTAAATACAAGAATACAAACACTGATGGTTTTTTGTTGCTCTTTTGGTTTTGTTGCATTGGTTTGTTTAGTTGTGTATATATCTGACTAACAACTTCAAGCAGTTACAAGCCAGTAAAGAAGAATTAATCGAAAAATACAAATTTTTGAGCGAGGATAGATTTCTTGCTTAATTGAGACTGCCAAGGTTTCTATGATTACTTGATTTAGTTGTAGTACACTGAGTTGATATTGAACAGATGAATATTAAGTTAGTCAGCAACACGTTACAGGGATGTATAATATGTGTAACTGATTTTACAAGAAGCTGCATTTAAATCTTCCAATAGTGTAAGTGGTGTTCATTAACGCAATATAAATCCGAAACTATAACTAACAACAATAAACAATACTTACGTGGTGGGGTATGGTCGCATGCACACTTATGTGCGAAGAATGCTTGTCCATGAGGACAACGTCGAAGGTAGCGTCTACCAAAGTTGTCAACATGCCAATAACTCTCTGGATTTCTGTGGGTTTGTAGTGGACAATCTGTATAAATGTGTATCTGATTCGTTAGAATGTTTCGTGATATATATATATATTATCTATATCTGTGAAACAGTGAAACAGCGAAATCGGTAGGAAATTATGGAGAACATTTTAGAACAATTTGATGTCTTCATAGACAAAATGTGATTATTCATATTGCATATAAATATTTAGTGCATTTTCAGCCTTATTTTTTTCCTATATTATGCACAGCGTGTACAAATTTTATAACTTTTCAATATGTATATATATATTCCTAACATCGCTGAAGAGACATTAATTGTCGAAATCCGGATATGGTGTACAAATGTTTGCACCTCATGTTTGCGGTATATCATCTTTTCTGCAAGTTTATTGTTTTCTGTTTGGTATTAAATTAATAATGAAGATCCATTTTGTTACATCTTGTGATACGTTTATTTGGCAATCGCCATGGCAGTCAGCAGGGTTTAAGAACATCAGTTGTTCGAGCTGTTAGTCAAATGCGTTTTGTTAAAATATACTTTTTCACGTTTTGGTCTTTTGGAAAATGTTGTTTGTGCTGTATTTAGACACCTCTACCAAGAAATTTGTTTTGCATGCACACGTATAAGAATTGCGGTTTTTACCCAACGCAATCATAGGTTTGAACGTTGTTTTCAATTTAGAGTTGTATATGTATACATGTATATACTTAATTGATTGATTGATTGGTGTTGAACACCACTTTCAACACTATTTTGGTATTTCGTAACGGTCAGTTTTTATTGGTGGTGGTAGCCAGAGTGCCCGGGAGAGAACAACCGACCTTTGGTAGGAAAACTGACAATCCTAGTCAATTTAGATTGGAGTCGAGCTCACCTGCCACGTGCGGGATTCTAACTCACAACCTCAGTGTTAACAGGCTAGTGATACAATAATTCGACTATACTTTTTTCTTTTTTTCTCTTTTGACTACTTAGACAACTCGGCTACCGAGGCACCCTTGTTATATATATATATATATATATATAAAGGTTTCTATTTATTTTAGCCTTTTTATAGTTAATTGGATTCGATTCAGTTTCCGATTAAGTATGTCTGTCTATCATTCAATTTTAGGTTAGATTTAATCTTTACACAACACAGAGCTTAAACTACCCCTTAGCACAGTTAAGATATGAAATAGATATAATCAAAATATGATAAAATAAAGTGTAACACTATTTAGTTTAATACTTATTACAGATACCCATGCAATTAAGCTTTTATAATAGCAACAGCAAATTAACATGTTCAAATATCAGAAGTAATCATCCGAAAAGTGCAAAAAAAAAAAAGCCGGAAAATACCTGGAACGAGGATTGTGAACTATCAAAATCGAATTCAAATTGTAATTTCTATTTTATAAAACATTGATAACACAAAAAATTAAATATTTAAATCATAAAGGTTTCCTGAAATGAGTAAGCAATACTTTGAAAAGCAGACTGGGACTGACAGTTACACTCTACAATATTGCAAGGACTGACAGTTACACTCACCAATATTGCAAGGACTGACAGTTACACTCACCACTATTGCAAGGACTGACAGTTACAGTCACCAATATTGCAAAAAGGACGTTAACTTTATAATATTCGCTTAATCAGAACTGATGTTCATAGCATTGGGTAATTACTGCGTTTAACTTTTGATTCAAAATGTTGTGAATGGTATATATCACACACAGAACATTTGTATTTGCAAATCAGAACTCAGTCTGGGTTGTATGATATTTCTGATTTCGTCAAATTTCAGAAGTTACTATTTTAAAAAGCAATTCTTCACTCACTGTGTGGAAACCGACGTTTAGAAAGACAAGCGGCGGACGACAGGATCCCTTTATATATACGTTTAACCAAGGATTGGGATAGGAAGAAAGGAATGTGCTATGTCATGTATATTTGTCGTTCGAAATTATTGTTGTAATGCTGTATATGACAATGGACATTCGTAGAATTATCTTCAAGGAATGTCATGAAATGGGTTTTTTTGTTTTTTATATCTATGCACTATACATATTCCAATTTCAATTGATCAAATTGTGTTTTATGGTGCAAAGTAAAGAAAAAAAACTTCCCAGTTATGAACACGATATCATAAATAAAATCGTCTTATTAATAATCGTACTCACTGGATATGGAATTTGAATTCCATTCATTTTTCCTTTGACTTTTCCTCCATTGTGATTTAACACCAAAAATACACAAAAATAACACCAACACCGAAGTTACTGTTGTTCGCATCTAAAACATTTACAATATTAATTTAGAAAAAAAAAAGCATATTGACGTAAAATCTCAATGTGCTTTATTTCATGTTGTTTGTTTGTTTATATTATTGTTGGCGTTTTACGACATTAAGTTCTTTGTGTTACTTTTTGTTAGTATAATGATTGTGGGTTTTGAAGGTTGAACTATATCAAAACACGTTAAAATGTAATAAATAAGTTATTAAGAATGAAAAGTAAAAACAAATAGTTCCAATTTTAATTTCCTGACAGCCAAAGATATTGTTGGATGGTCACCATAAAGTCATGTATTATTGGACGTTTTATGGAAAGCCAACGGGGTCAAAATTCTAAATTCGTGAATTGTCAATTTTTAACTTGTAACTGTGTAATTTGTACATTTGTATCATAATACGAAACGTAGCATAATATGAATGTACAAATGTCGAATGAACAAATCACCCACTTTGCAATCATCGCGTTAGAAAAGTGTCGATTTACAAGTATAATACACTTTTTTTCACAAATAACATAAAAGCAAAGATGCTAATTGACATCTACAAATTTACAAAAAATTCAAATGTAGAATTTAGCACTTTACAAATTACAAATAAACATATCACAAATGTAGCACCTAATGATCAATATACAAATGTGGAATTTACAAATCACGAATTCAAGAATTACAAATGTTCAAATTACATAGTTACAAGTTATAAATTTACAATTTACGAATTTTGAATTTTGACCCCGTTGGCTTTCCATAGACGTTCACTAATAAAAGATTTTCAGTCTGAAACGGTCATTTTGATCTTCCTGGTTTTTGGATGGGTTCCTGTTGCTCATTTTTTAGTTTTCTATGTTGTATTTAGTGTACTGTTGTTTGTCTTTTGGGCTTTTTCTTTTTTTTTTTTAATTATAAGTTTGAATGATTCTTTGGTATCTTTCGTCTCTCTCTAACAGGATCTGAAAAGTCTGGACAATAAATCATTCAGTCATGTTCAGTTTTTCAGTCAATTTTCGAACTTAGCCACTGCGGTAAGTTCAGTATTGTTCAGACAGTTCACTTGTAGTTAATTCAATACTGTTCAGTAGCATTTCAGACAATTCAGTATGATGTTGGTGTGTACAGGTAAATAGAAGCTACTGAACAGTCTGACTATAGACTGAACAGATATTAATTGACTACAAGCGAAGAGTCTGAACAGTGCTGAATTTACCGCAATGGATAAATACAAATATTGACTGAAAAACTGAAAATAACGTAATAATTTATTGTTCAGTCATTTAAGAGATGTTCAGATCAAAATGACTGTTTACATTGGTTTACTAGTAGTTGAAAGGTAATTTATGAACACACAATAATCTGTTATGGAAAATATAGAACAATAAACCAAGAAAGGACAAACTCTTCACATACCGGTGAAACAGAGAGACGTGCTAAAAACTTTTACCTTTAATAGGCGTTATATCCAACGATAATGCACACAGTATCCAGTCGGATGTGTTGTTGTTTTAAACACAATAGAACATGAGTATCCTTTGTCTATGTTTTAATGCATTCTTATATTTTATTCATGAACAAAAGTCACTAAAATTGCACATAGTAATAAACTAGCTCGGATGGGTTATATTTTATAGAATAATTTATTTACATGTATATTTACGTGTGTATGTGTGTCGTATTATAATAATGAAGTTAAATATGTACATTAATATATAATAAGCAACATGAATTCAAGAACGGTATTGTAAACCAACGTGAAGATAATTAATTATTCAATCTTTAATGTATATAATATGCGGACTCCTGTAAAATTGTGCAAACTATATGTATATGCTGGCAATCGCCAATGGCAGTCGGCAGGGTTTAAGAACATCAGTTGTTCGACCTGTTAGTCAAATGCGTTTTGTTCAAATATACTTTTTCACTTTTTTGGTCTTTTGGAAAATGTTGTTTGTGCTGTATTTAGACCCCTCTACTAAGAAATTTGTTTTGCATGCACACGTATAAAATTGCGGTTTTTATCCAACGCAGTCATAGGTTTGAACGTTGTTTTCAATTTAGACTTAATTGTGTATATGTAATATATATATATATATCGCAATTCAAATAAAACCAGGTTAAACAAGCCTTATCTGATTAGGTATAAACGTAATATGATAGTGAGTTTAGTGCGCAAGACACGTGTTCCTAGAAACCGAAACCAGGCGCGATCGACTCCAAAAGAATAGAACCACATATACATGAAACGTTCGTAAGAAAACAAATAACTCAAAAAGAGTGTCAAAACCCCGGTCAAAAACGAATATGGTCAGCTTTGCAAAAGGAATGCAACCTTTGTTTTAATACAAGTATATAATTAATACATAGGAATAAAAGAAAAAAAAAATCATTTGTTTTGTTTATTTACTATTTTTTTATCTCTGAAAATCCGCACTTTGATAAATGTGTTTACAATTATTAATTATTTGGTTACAGCTGACATCCTTGTTGTAAACAATCTATTAAATTTTATATGTCGTTAATGACTAACATGAGTGTGAGGTTGTGAGGTTGAAAAGGTTAACAGAATTTAATGATCAAATGGAAACTTTCGTCTTACCTTTACAAATTGAAGTCGTCCAGTTAAATAATGAACCTTTGATAATGACCTATCAACTGTTTTCAGAGTGCGGACTCATTAGTAAAAATAACACTTCTGGTTAACTGTCATGTGTGATGAATTGCTTACATAGTATTTGCACCTTGATAAAATAGTTATAATTATTTAGCTTTGACCATATTTTTTACACAAATACATCATTGACGAGATTTAATTACCAAATTTTGTCCGGAAAACATGCTCATGGTAGATTAATTGTCATCGAGGAATGTATATTTTATGTCAGACAGAGGTGATACTGTTGGTCGTCATGATATGTCTGTATTTTTACGATTTTCACACAATATAAACGTTCTTAAAGTCATATGAAACGAGTTTGTGGTGATTATAATGTTAAGGAAGTCATTAAAGCAATGCATGCACATATTTTGAGGAAATTTTGAACCAATGCATGCATATATGCTAAGATAATTATTGAACGAATGCATGCACAAATGTTTAGAAAATTATTGAACCAATGCATACACAAATGTAAAGGAAATTATTGAACCAATGCATGCACATATGCTAAGATAATTATTGAACCAATGCTTGCATATATGTTAGGAAATTATTTATCAAATGCATGCACATATTATATTAACGAAATTATTGAACCAATGGTTGCACCTATACTAAACTTAGTCATATGAACACTTTTGTATTCCGAATACATAATGTTTAATCGACAACAATTATTTTTTTCGGAGGTTGTAGATCTGAAAGTTTGGCTGGTAATTACCTTTTGGGTTTTGTTGTCTAAGTTTACCGAAACGTGACCTTGACAAACAATCAACACAGAAGCATGGGGCTCTCGAAAAATAAATGAGATGATATAGCTATGTTTTGTTGTTATTTTTGATATATTTTCCATGCGTTCCCATTTGTTTTTTTAAACTGTGTCATAACAGTTGATAAATGAGTTCATGTTTTTTAAAGATTTCTTTCAGATTCGGTTTATACTATATTCCTCTAATGTTGGTTTACTTTTTATGTCATCATTATCTTCCCTTCGCACTTGCGCTGTGGGATTGTCAGAATTGAACCAATGCATGCACATATGCTAAGATAATTATTGAACCAATGCTTGCATATTATGTTAACGAAATTATTGAACCAATGCTTGCACCTATACTAAACTTAGTCATATGAACACTTTTGTATTTCGAATCCATAATGTTTAATCGACAACAATCATTTTTTTCGGAGGTTGTAGATCTGAACGTTTGGCTGGTAATTACCTTTTGGGTTTTGTTGTCTTAAGGTTACCGAAACGTGACCTTGACAAACAATCAACACCGAAGCATGGGGCTCTCGAAAAATAAAATCCATGCGTTCCCATTTGTTTTTTTAAACTGTGTCATAACAATTGATAAATGAGTTCATGTTTTTTTAAAGATTTCTTTCAGATTCTGTTTAATATACTATATTCCTCGAATGTTGGTTTACTTTTTCTGTAATCATTAACTTTCCCTTCGCACTTGCGCTGTGGGATTGTCAGAATTTTAACAAATAGTGTCATGGTTAAGGTCACTGTATACGGAAAAGTTGTCGGCGAATTAGAGAACGGGAAGACAATCATTCAATAGCAGGACATTTCGGAAGATTTTGAGAAAAAATAATTGAGTTTCTTTTAAAAGAAATTCTTTGTAACCGTGTTTTATATTAAAATGTAGCCATTCAAGTATATAAAACGTATTAATTTATTTTGTTAAATTTGAACGAACATATGAATTTAATCATCAACTGTAAATATAATGTCAAAGGCTATATTTTCAGGTGTAAATTCCATATATATATATAATTATACACATTAATTGTCCATTTAATGCCCAATTACTCTGGAAAAAGATCTTATCAAAAGTATTTTTTAAATATTTAATTCACATTGTGATTGTATTGTAGAATTTTAATCTTTTATTCACACACATTATGATGGAAAAATTATTGTTTATTTAAAATAAATCTCTTTTTCTATAGTGATAATAAATTTTCGAAAACAAACTTTCTTTAATAAAAATGAGTAATATGGCAAACTATAGTAAATCAAAGCACTGAAGTACTGCCTACTCGGATAAACGCAATATCTGATGGCTGATGAATAATTCATTAATGATAGGGATTTCAAACCTCACTGCAAAACTGAATTGGTACAACACTTCTTTATATCATCCTATTATAACATAATGTAGATTAGAATCATATCAATATCTTTATAACATTAGTGTATCAGATCATCTTAATTATCAAAAAGGCAAATACTCATCCAGTGCATGCCGATATTATATTCAGATGATATTGTAATGGAAAGAAGAGGCCTCTTTCAAATATTCTAATTTCTTCTGAGCTGGATATGTGCACATTGTGACATTTCCATGTTTGTTCTATGCCGATAACATAGTTCTATTGTCAAATTCAAGACCAGTCTCCAATAGCAGCTTCACACCTTATAATTATATTGTCAAGATATGTATTGCAATAAATACGAATAAAAAAAGGAATAGTTTTTTTTTAATAAGAATGGTCGTCTAATGATTGAAATATTACCATTGACCACAGTAATATAGCATGTATTAAATATATAAATATTTGGGTGTAGTTTTTAGCAACACTGGTAGATTTTATGAAGCTTAAGCAAAATCATTTTGGCAAAGGAATTAAGGCTAGATTCATTTTTTACAAAAAATATCAAGTCAGTCTCATGTTCTTTAAAAATATTGCTGCAACTTTTGATCATACTATAAAAACCCTTGTTTTATATATGGATGTGACATAGGGGTATTATACACCTGACTCCTAAAAGAACATATATGTCATTTATAAGAAATAAAAAGACAAGAAGCAGGAAAACTAAATGTGAAATTCTGTAAAATACATTCTTGGGATAACAAAACATTGTACAAATATTGGAGTTTATCATTAGTTAGAAGGACTCCTTCATATATTATCACTCAAATATATTGTACTGGCATCGCCTTGTTGTAGTACACTGGTTAATTTAGACCTACTAATTTGTAAAAAAAACCAAAATTAAAATGCTGCTAATAAGGCGCATAACACAAGTCTTTCTAAAATACTGGAACAGGGTTAAAATTTCTTCGAATCAAGATGATTACTGTTAACTCAAAACATATTTTACATTCAAGTCAATTTTTGGAAAATGACGCTGTCAAAGCGTCAATTTTACTATACTATTGACCAGATTTCACTGTATCGCTTCCGGTCGCTTCCAAGCCGCCTTTCGAACTCGGTTCCGTAATTTACATACCTATGTCCTGTACAGAATTTCATTCTTAACCTTTCCATATGTTTATTGTTATTAAAGGGTATTTTGAGCTATCCCTTTGGTATTTTTTTCATATTTATATGAGCTTTCGCTTTTATGTGCATGACTTTACAATCCGTTAAGAATATAAATAGATCCGTATTGTTATGGTTTTGGACTTTTTACATACCAATGATAACAAATCGCTATCGCTAGAAAATAGTTCTTGAAAGAATGTTTACCTTTCTTGTCAGCTGAACTTTGAAACCATTCAAAAAATAATAATCGGAATCATCTTGAAATCATACGAAAGATAATGGTCTTTATTAAGATTTAAGAAGTTTTTAAGAATGATACGGTTATATTTACGCGGTGCGTATGGATTTGTTTACAAAGTTACTGCTGCAGATATAATATAGGTCAAATATCGCAAGGGCCAGTTCTATTAAAGAATAAAATGGCGATAATTGCAGAAGTTTTTCTGTTAAAAAGACTTTATTGCTTTCTGGATTTCTTCACTTTAAAAATAATTATAAGATGCAGAAACTTTATGAAAGGAGTAGGCAGTGCTCATTGAATCATACCAAAAGTATTTAAGGAAGGTTTTACCCTTTCTCTGACAACGTGGTCTCGTCCATTTTTTGAAACATTACGATTATTTCTTTACTTTTTTCGAGTTATCAACTAAACTATTGAACCTGTATTGTTTTGAGAAAAGCATTCCTTGAACCTGTATTGTTTTGAGCAAAGCATTCCCGTTGTCCAGGTGTTCATTACAAGCCCGTATTTTACGATTTACTTGCATTGCTATTTTCAAAATCGGATACGAAAATTTCTTGAAAATAAAAAAAAAATATTCAGATTTGCCATCCAGTTTTCAATAACTATTAATTAAATATTAATTTAAAATCAATGTTAACTGTGGATGACTTGGATAAGGAATGGAATTTAATGATTCCTAGAGATACAACAAAATGTGTTAACAGGAAGTTGTGAAGGGAGACAATTTCATTGGGCAAAATTTAAAGTGCAAAACAAGTATTGTCAAATCTTGTAAAATATTTCTGGTGGCAATAATTCACATATTCATAAAATAACCAAACACAACTTTTAAAGGTGGTTGTAATGTTTCAATTGACAAACATTTATTTATTGATAATCCACCTTTAATAATAAAAAAAACTTCTTTAAAAAAAAAGATTTCTATCATATTCATCTTGGAATATGATCAAAATATGTTAGCATATTTTAAACATGCCTTTAATAACATTTCAGTACTTATGGAAAGAGTTATTCCATTTCTTCCTTTGATATTAAAGGATAAACCAATTGTAATTGCAAAATTGTAATTTGATAAATGTAAATAAAAATTAATGCAGAAATTCCAATTTTGTCATTGTAAACCTTCCTAAATATGTGTAAGTAAATTATGAAGCTGTAAAGGATATATAACTAGTTTATTAAAGTCAAACAACCGAAAGTGAGAAAAAAATATATACCTACTGTGCTACATTTGGGGACGGGTGGTAATAATATCAAATTATTTAAGTTATCTAGGCATTTTAATTTTTAAAGTTTAATTAATAATTGAAATGTCACTTATTTGCATTTCAGTTAATGCACATGGCACATGTATAAAAAATCCAGGTTTTTGTCTATTCAATAAAATAAAACTAACATGGTAGTAATAAATAAATGTAACACCAAGTCACAAACATGAAACTTAAGGTGAATCAATCTTAAATCGGGCGCTAATACCACAGCGCTATAAAAAATCCTGGGGAGAACACTGGATTGTATTGCTTT